AAAAAGAGAAAAAAAGAAAAAATATAAAAAGTTATGAAAAAGAATGAAAAGCGACGGAGGACGAAATCGAGAAACCGGAAATAAATTCATTTTTAAAAAAAATTACGTTCGCGAACGCAAAAAAAAAAAAAAAACGAATGACGCAATATTTCCGGTAGAGTTTTTTTTTTTTTTTGCATTTCCTGCAAATTTTGTTGCAATTTATTTTGGCGAAAAAAAAAAAAAATTTTTTTTTTTTCCATTCTTTTGCTACCGTAAATGTTAAATATTTCTTTTTTTTTATGACCATTAAAAATTTAAAAAAAAAATATATATATATAAATTTCAAAAATTATTGATTTTAATAATAATAATAATAATAATAATAAATTTTTCCTTTTTTTCCTTTGCCAACAAAGGAACGTAAAAAAAAAAAAATTATTCGTTAATATATAAAATTTTTATTTTAAAAAAAAAAAAAAAAAATCGGTTATCGGGAGTCAAAAATTTTAAACCGTAAAAAAAAAAAGGTTAAAGGTGGTTTTCAAAATGGTGGTTTCTAGAAAAAAGGTTTTTTTTTTTTTTAAGGTTAAACCTTTTTATTTTCTCTCTCTCTCTCTCTCTTTCTTTCTTCTCATTTTTCTTCCTTTTTTTTTTTTAAATTAATTTTTTAAAAAAATTAAAAGTAATTAATATAAAAAAAAAATTTTAATTGTATAAATTAACTTGAAAACTTTTTCATTTTACCTCCTTTTAATATTTTCCTTTGATATACACATGCATACATACACACACACACATACATCATTTTTTTTATTTTTTCCTTTGAACCTTTTTTTTATAAATTTCAAGCCTTTTTTTTTTTAAAGAAAGAAAATTTCACTTTCGTTTATTTTTTATTTTTTTTTTTACACATAATTAAATAAATTAAATGAAGTTAATTATTTTAAACCTGCCAAACAATTTTTCCTTTTTTTTCCTTTGACCAAGCCGCTTAACCCGCAAAATTCCTTTTTTTTATTTCCTTTTTTTTTCTCTTTATTTTCTTTTCCATTCGCCTGTTTTTAATGTTAAAAAAAAAAAAAATTTTTTTCATTCAATTCGCGTAAATTTTTTTTGTTTTTTTTTCTTCCTTTGAACGTTTTGATTTATTATCATTATTATTATTATTATTATCATTAATAATTTTTTTTATTGTTTTGTTTAGAAATAGGTGAAAAAGAAACATTTATTATTTTTTCGAAAATATTTCGTTATTTTGCATTTATTAAATGAAAATTGCAAAGGAAACAATAAAAAAAACCTTTTAATTCCCGGGTTTTCCCCCTCTACTTAC